CCTAGTGGACGCCCGGAGTGACTTGACCCCGAGCCAAAAGATGGCGTACCTCCTGGCCTTACTGGAGGGGGAGGCCCTGCGCGTCGTCGGCCACTTGAGATTGTCGGACGACGCCTACCAGACTGCTCGGGACCTCCTAGCCAGAAGATACGCCAATGTCCGGCGAATTGCGGATGAACATGTTAAGCAGCTTGTAAGCCTCCCGCTACTTAGTGACCGGGCCAGACTACGTCCGGACCTGTTGGATCCAGTCTTGGTGGCCTGTAATACGTTGAGGCGGCTGGATTTACCAGTGGGCGAATGGGCCTTTTTGTTGCTCCGCATCGTGCTGTCCCGTCTACCTCTTGACCTTCGAATCCATTTTGAGGAGAGGTACGGCGGGGACGAGGCCTCCTATATTCCGCCCTTCTATGACCTGCTGCGTTTTTTGGAGGAGCAGTGCCGGCAGATCGAGGACGCGGCGGGCACCGTTGACGACTTACGAGACGTGCCCAGTGAGAGGCTGAACCCGCCAAGCAAGTCGTCGTCAACCCCCCCCTGCTCCTTTTGTCGAGCATCTGATCACCGGGTAACGTCGTACCCGAAATTATTAGGTAAGCCGGTTCCGGCGAGGCGAACTATCGCCAAGGAGCGCCGCTGGTGCTGCTCATGTTTGGAAGGGCACCTCCAGCGAGACTGTCCGCATCGGCGGCCCTGTCTGCATTGCCAGGGCAATCACCATGCAGTTTTGTGCCTGGATGCAAACGGCGTCTCCTCTCGGGGCTCTGCCAGGCCCTCAACCCCCACGGGCGGGGGCGCTCAGCCACGCCCTCTGCCGGGTGACTCTCGGCGCCCGCCGGCCAGCCACCAGGCCCCTAAGTTTGAAAGGGGTCCCTCCCCCGACCAGTCGGGGGGTAATTCCCCCAGGGGCGGGGGTGTCATCACCCCCCCTCAGCGTGTGGAGAGGAACTTCACGGCCACTCATCGGTCCGCTGGACCCTTCTCACTCCCGTTAACTGAGTGGCCGCGACTGGTGTACCACTGTTCCCCATTTGATGGAGGCGGCCACGGCTAGCTGCCGCCTTAGCTCCCACCACGGCCGCCTCCACTGAGCCTTAAGCCGTCAACAGTCCACTTGTCAAAATGTTCTGTTGCCGACGGCCTCAGTGAAGGCGTACAACCCGAGTGGCGACTGTTAGAGGTTGTGCTCTCTTTATCCCGGGTTCACGCCATGTGGCCTCCCCTTGGTGGTGGGAAGATTAGGGCCCCCCTGGAGCGTTGAATCACGCTGTCAAGGGGTATAAGATTTGGTTTGGTCGAGCACTTAGTTAAAAAATACTTTGAATTAAAATTAAAAAATGCTTTGAGCTTTCCGCGAAATTTTCCTATTTGTAGCGGTTGTGATTAAAAGAATTGAATTTAATCTACTCCTCTAAATGCTGCTGCATATGTTTTGTAAATATATTTAATCACTGCATTTGATTGTTGCGCCTGGTTGTTGAAAAGAAAATTTGAATTCATTTGAAATTGAATGTCGCGCTATTTGGAAAATTATGTATATGTTTTGTGATAGTGTTTAATCATTTTGCCTTGTGAAAAAGAAGGCTGAAATTAGATAACCCTATTTGTGCCGAGGTAAATAAAAGTCAATTCTCCTTTGGTTTACATTTTGTTGGCACTGTCTAAGTTACGTAAATGAGAAATAGGGCTGTCTCTTACGTTATTGTTTTGTTTAATTTGTCAAGTTGACCTATGTGCATCGGTGATTAATTTGGTTGAATTGATTCTGTAGTTGAACATTGATGCTTTGAAAAATTAGTTGAAATATGAGCATAGGACTGCTTGTCTAACAGGCTAGCTAGTTTTGGAGATTGTCAGGTTGAAATCAGCTGCCGCACTATTTTAGTAAATGATAATATGATGGGTGGCCTGGCTAGGCCTACTTGTTGAAAATTCATACTAGGGACTATCTGTGCGTTTCGTTCGGCTCTCCACAGACGACGTTCATGTGGAATTTGTTGGTGCTCTCTGCATTGAAGCTTAGGAGGCCGCTCTGGACCGCTTCGTGTCGCGTCGCTGTTTGCAGACCTGATCCGGTCGGATTGCGGAACTAATCGTAGGGGCACAGATAGGTGTTTGAAAGAGGTCGTCGGACTTCTATCCAGAATAGGACTTATTTATGGCCTGCGATGTCCAGGAAGGGCATCCAGTTCAACCCTCCGGCTTGCCCACGTTGGGGCGGTAATTTAGGCGTTGATTAGGGTTGCAAGATCTGATGGATTGCCTAAGGTGGCTGTAGCGGACAGCGAGGAGGCCGCCGCCCCGTCGCCCCTTCACACCCCGGTGCGCCCCGCGCACCCCGCACACCGGCAGCAGATCACGCGATGTCGCCGACCAATGAGCGCGCGGCATCGCGGACGAGATATAAGAAGGGCGTCTCGGACGGTTAGCGGTTCATTTCGGAAGCGGCACTCGACGAGAAGAAGACAGCAAGAAAATCAAGACTCAAGAAGACTCCATCAAGAAGACTCCCCTCTGTATAGTAGTTTAATTAATAGTGCCACATTTTGTAAATAGTTAGAATACAGTATAGTTCGACAGTACCATCTTTTCTTTGAGCAGTTGCCCCCTAGCGTACACCCCTACCCCCCTCAATAATACAGTCCACTGCGATCCATAACAAGTTCTTGGTCCATCGTCGCCGGATTCAAGAAAGAAGAAAGAACATAATTATAGAAGAAAGAACATAATTATTGAAGAAAGAACATAATTATAGAAGAGAGAACATAATTACAGAAGAAAGAAGATCATTATAGAAGATCTTCGAGGAAGAAAGAAGTACGTCGACGAAGAGAGAAGATCGTCGGTACTAACTCCTTCCTCGTTTCTTATTTACATCGACGTCATATATATTGTCTGTTTCCAGACAATTCCTGTTTCTTAACCGCGTTTACGCGGCCGGGTGGTTGCTCCCTAACGGTGCCAAACTGTGACCATCCGGTAACGCCCTTGAGGCGGGAACGGCGTCCAATACGTGCGTCTTTTTGAAGACGATCGGAGGTCGCAATGAGGGACACTACCATGCGGAAGACAAGAAGCCAGAAGACACGGAACGACGACGAAACGCCAGTAGGAATGCGGATATTCGAGGAAGCACCCGCGTCCCCGTCCGATTATCTCGCGTTGGCACAAGCGCCCTCCGCCGCGCCGCAGCCCCCGCTCGCGCCCGCATCTATGCCCGCGCCCGCGCCCGCGCCGCCGCGCCCCGCTATGTCCGTGTCTACAACCGATCGCTTGGGAGAAGTTAGCACATCCGCGCCGCGCACAGAAACGCTCGCCGCGATAATAGAAGATCTTCCGACTACGGAAACTAGTTCGATAGTGCGTACCGTCGCGCCTGTAGCAGACGTTGTACATAGGCCCGCGTCCCGCGCCCCGTCGGTCCGTTCAGTCCGTTCAGCCCGGTCGACAGCTAGCGCAGTAGCAAGATTAAAACAAATCGAATATAATGCCGCGGAGGAACTAGCTGCAATTAGGAGGAAGCAATTGCAAATAGAGGAAGATCTCGTCAAGAAGAAATATGCTAGGGATATCGCGCAACTGCAAGAAGAAACCGATAGGGAAAGCCTAAACGAGGACGAATTAGTCGATAATAGGGTACGCGTTGATAGGTGGTTAGAAAACGTAGAGACTGTGCGGGGGGAGCCGCCCTACCGCCCGCCTCAGCCCGCGCCCCGCATCGAGATAGAGCAGGCCCCACCGAGGAGGGGAACCGGTTACGACCACGCTGAAGATGCCCAGGGGAAGTCGGTCGCGAATGACGTTCAACCGCGCCGCGTAAATAGGATACAGAGGGATAATGGAGTCGCCGTAGAAATGAACCAGGTGGATCGTCGTGTACGAGCTACGTCGCCGTCGCACGTCCAACGCCGCACTCTATCGCCTACACATAGATCGCCACATCGCCTTACGGATCGTAGATTACCGTCGCCGTGTCATAGGGATGTAGGTATACATAGATCGCCATCGCCACATCACCACGCGGATCGTAGATCACCGTCGCCGTGTAATGATGTAGGCAGAGATAAATCGCCACATCGCCTTGCGGATCGTAGATTACCGTCGCCGCGTCATAGGGATGTAGGTGTACATAGGTCGCCGGCGCCACAGCGTAGGCTAGAAGGAAATAGGGATAGAGATAGGTCGCTCACTCCGCGAGGGAAAGATAGGGGTATAGAACGGCTAGCGGAAGCCTTAGAAAGCATGGTTAGAGTTAGACCAGCCGCCGCGAAACAGACACAGGACTTGCCTATTTTTAACGGCTCGGCCGCGGAATGGTTAGCATTTAAAGCCGCGATGAATGAATCCACGCGTTTATATGGATTCACAAATACGGAAAATATGGAAAGATTAAGGAACTGTTTACGCGGTGAGGCTAGAGAGGTAGTATCGGCTCTGCTGTTTACCGCGAAGGATCCGGCAGACATTATGCGGACACTGGAGCAGTGTTTCGGCCGCCCGGAAGTAATTATAGATCGCGCGTTAGAAGAATTGAAACGCCTTCCGCGCCCGGGTCAAACCGCCCAGGAATTAAACTCGTTCGCAATTAAGTTACAAAATATAGTGTGCATTATGCAAAACGTCGACGGCAAGGGTTATTTGCGTAATCCAATGCTGACTAGGGAGGATACTAGCAAACTAGCCCTCACTTACGGTCGCGTTGGTGCGATTATGCGGAGCACTACGGAAGTGCGGACGAACCGGACATCGTTACGTTATCCCGGTTCATGATGAGAGAGGCTGACCGTGCGTTAAGTCATGCCTATACGTCCGTAGCGTCGACTAAGGAATCGCCCGTAAGACGAGAGACGCCGCCGTCGAAAAGAATAGTGTTAACACGCCGCGTAGAAGATAGGGCCCGCGACGTAAAGACGTTCACCGCCCAGGAGGACACCGGTAGTGCCTCATGTATGTGTTGCGGGGGTGAACACCCTATCGTCAAGTGTAAGAAGTTAGAGCAAATGGGCTCGGACGACCGGTGGAAGTGGGTTAGGGAAGATGGGGTATGTTTCAAGTGCTTGAGCAGCAAGCACCGACGTATACGCTGCAAAGCCAAGAAGTGCGGCGTCGACGGCTGTAACGCCCCCCACCACGCTCTTCTTCACACCCGTAAGGCCCGTACGCCTGCAGCGTCGGTTAAACCGGACGAAACCGTGCTCGTCGCGTCGAGTGTTAGCAGTAGTGCGTCCGTATTGTTAAAAGTGTGTCCGATAACCGTGCGCGGACCACGCGGAAAGGAAGTGAACACGTACGCGCTACTTGACGAAGGCTCTACGATATCGCTAATCGACGACGATTTAGCTCGCGAGTTAGGAGCGGAAGGACCGATAAAGCCGCTCAATATTAAAGGCGTAGGGAACAGTCAACGCGAGGCTAATAGGAGATTAGTCAATATAGGGATACGTGGCAAGACGCGCAGCGAGATGTTTAACATAAACGCGCGAACAATAACCGACTTGAAGATAGGCTCGCAGTCCGTGAGTAGGGAGTGCTTACGATTAAAGCACTTACGTGACTTACCGAGTTCGGTGTGTTACGACGACGCGAAGCCAAGACTGCTATTAGGCGCCGACAATTGGCATTTGATAATTACCCGTGCTTTAAGGATAGGACGTCGAAGGCAGCCTATAGCCGCACGAACGTTATTAGGATGGGTAATTCAGGGAACCGTGCCGCGGTTAACGTGTAGGGAAGACGGCGAGACCGTATTGCACATAGAGAGCGCTAGCGGACGGTCAGATAGGGACATCCGAACGTTTGCCAGTCGGGACGAGGAGCTAACGGAACTCCTCAAACGGCAGTACGAGATAGACTCTATAGGTATCTCGCTGAAGAGTAGGCCGCGACGGGACGAGGAGCGCGCTGTCGACATATTCCAGCGCACCGTCAAGAAGGTCGGCGAGCAATACCAAGTGGGACTGCCATGGAAGGACGACAACGTGCGGATGCCACCCAGCTACGAGATGGCAGCGCGAAGACTACGGACGATCGAGAGGAAGATGGACCAGTCGCCGGAGTTTCGTGACGCCTACACAGCCCAGATAGACAACCTCCTGGCGAAGGGATACGCAAGGGAAGCCGAAGGGACAGAGCGAGAGGATCCCAAGAGCTGGTACCTGCCACACTTCGCAGTACGGAATCCGAACAAGCCGGGGAAGACGAGATTAGTGTTCGACGCGGCAGCGCGCGCATCCGGCAGATGCCTTAACGATTATTTACTCGACGGCCCCGACTTATTACGGAACCTACCGGGCATACTGTTTCGATTTAGGGAAAACGAGATAGCGGTGTCCGCGGATATTAGGGAGATGTTCTTGCGTGTAAAGATCGACCGTCGCGACCAGCCCGCGCAGTTGTTTCTTTGGCGAGGAGACGAGCGACACAGCCCACCGCGGTAGTACGTTATGACATCAATGATTTTCGGTGCGAGGAGCTCGCCGTTTCTCGCACATAGCGTTAGGGATCATAACGAGCGCGTACACGCAGAGACACACCCGTTGGCACTTAACGCTATCATACGTAGCCATTACATGGATGATTATTTAGACAGTTATGCCACGGTAGAGGAAGCGATAAATACGGCGAAGCAGGTTTCGGAAGTGCACCAGCAGGCCGGTTTCACCTTGGCAGGATGGAACTCCAACCACGCGGCCCTGTTAGAAGACAAGCCGGAGGACTTACTGGCGCGTAAGCCTAAAGAAGTAGGCTTAAGACAAGACAGCCCAGGCAGAACCTTAGGGTTATTATGGATGGCTGATGAAGACGCCCTAACATTCAACACGTCAATGAATAGGGTGCCGCAAGAAGTGAAGGCGCTACAGCGACCACCGACCAAGAGGGAAGCATTAAGCGCGGTCATGTCCGTTTTTGACCCGCTTGGACTGCTGAGTTACCTCACCATCACCGCCAAGATCCTGCTACAAGACTTATGGCGCATGAAGAAGGTCGGATGGGACGACGAACTACCCGAGGAGGCAGCAGAGGAATTCCAGCGATGGCTGCAAGTCGTCGAGAAGGTATCACGACTACGACTGCCAAGGTGCTATGCTCCTACGGGGGGAGTTGTAGAGCGTCAACTTCACGTCTTCAATGATGCGAGCGAACGTGCGTACGCATCCGCGGCGTATTGGCGTATACGATATCGCGACGGAACGATTAGGGTGCGATTAGTGGCGGCTAAGGCGAAAGTCGCCCCAATTAAAGCGCAAAGTATACCGCGATTAGAGTTGCAGGCGAACTTAATAGGCGCGCGACTCGCGGAATTCGTGCAGGACGAACACAGAGTGGTAGCGGATAGGGTCGTATATTGGACGGACTCTACTACGGCGCTCCACTGGATACAAAACGATACGGCGCGTTACACTCCATACGTTGCTCACCGGTTAGGGGAGATAGCTGAGAAGACATCACCCGAGCAATGGAGGTGGATACCGACTGCGGAAAACGTAGCGGATCAGGCAACGCGGATGAATTTCACAACTAAGGAAGAGAGCGACAAGTGGTTTACCGGACCACCCTTCCTCTACGAGCATGAAGACAGATGGCCTCACCGACAGGAAGAGAAGGCGGGGGATGATGAAGAGTTGGAGGAAATCGTGGCGCACCAGAGCGACACCCGGGAAGCTCCACACCTGCCAGACATAGAGAGATTCTCTACCTACGAGAAGTTAATCAGGGCCACTGCAAGAGTACTACAATTCCTCGATGCGGCACGAGAAAGAGCACGAGGACTGACCTTACAGCACATTCAGAGAGCAGAACGGATGTGGATACAACACAGCCAGCAGGAAAGCTTCGCTGAAGACATCAGCCGCCTTCAGCGGGGAAAGAATTTGACCACCGGCAGCGCACTAAGGAAGCTCGACCCCATATTGGAGGATGGAGTGCTACGAGCCAGGGGGAGGATCGACGCAGCCGACGTGGACGGTCAAATGAAGAGACCCATTATCCTGAATGGACGTCACCAATTTGTGAAGCTGCTTGTGGAGAAGGCGCATCAGGAAGCAAGCCACGCCAATAGGGAGAGGGTGGTGAACGACCTGCGCACTAGGTATCATATCCTCCGATTACGACCTACAGTACGGGAAGCGGAGCGGAGATGCCTACGATGCAGAATACGGAAGGCGACACCACGACCTGCGGTTACAGGAGACCTACCACCTGAACGGTTAGGGGCGTTTGCGTGACCATTTACGAACACCGGGATTGATTATTTCGGGCCTCTGACGGTTACGATAGGACGACGGCACGAAAAACGGTGGGTGGCACTGTTCACGTGCCTAACGACGCGCGCAGTACATCTAGAGATAGTCTATTCTCTGACCGCGGACTCGGCGATATCGGCATTGCGGCGCATGGCGGCTAGGCCTGGGTGGCCACGGGTTATTTATTCGGATAATGGGACTAATTTTCATGGGGCAAACACAGAATTACGACGGGCAATGGAAGAGTGGGCGCCACAGTTGAAGGATTACGCGCTGACTCGGCGCGTCGATTGGAAGTTCATCGCACCGGGCGCGCCTAACCAGGGAGGCGCATGGGAGCGTCTCGTGCGCTCAGTGAAGACCGCGCTCGAAGCCACTCTCCATCAGAAGAGCCCACGAGAAGAAACGCTGGCAACGCTTCTAACTGAAGCCGAAAATACTGTAAATTCTCGACCGTTGACGCACGTACCGGTCGACATCGACGATGAAGAGGCGCTGACACCCAACCACTTCCTACTGTTGGGACCATCGGGCCTGCCAGTCACCGCGCCGTGCACACCTATGGATCGTCGGGCGTGGAGAGCGGCGCAAGGACTCGCCGACGAATACTGGAGGCGCTGGGTGAAGGAGTACCTGCCGACGCTGGTCGCGCGCGGGGACTCCAGAGATGCTCGGCAGCGCCAAATACAGGAAGAGGACCTCGTCGTGGTTGAAGACGGCAACCTACCCAGGAATGTGTGGCCGCGGGGCATCGTAACGAAGACGTGTCCTGGACCAGACGGCGTGGTACGGAACGTCGAGGTCCAGACCAAGGGAGGAGTGCTGCGGCGGCCCGTCAGGAAGATCGCCGTCCTCCCGAGAGAAGCTTAGGCTCGCAGGCTACGCCGGGGGGAGGATGTAGCGGACAGCGAGGAGGCCGCCGCCCCGTCGCCCCTTCACACCCCGGTGCGCCCCGCGCACCCCGCACACCGGCAGCAGATCACGCGATGTCGCCGACCAATGAGCGCGCGGCATCGCGGACGACGCTACGCACGACCCGAGACGCTCTCCGGCGAGATATAAGAAGGGCGTCTCGGACGGTTAGCGGTTCATTTCGGAAGCGGCACTCGACGAGAAGAAGACAGCAAGAAAATCAAGACTCAAGAAAACTCCATCAAGAAGACTCCCCTCTGTATAGTAGTTTAATTAATAGTGCCACATTTTGTAAATAGTTAGAATACAGTATAGTTCGACAGTACCATCTTTTCTTTGAGCAGTTGCCCCCTAGCGTACACCCCTACCCCCCCTCAATAATACAGTCCACTGCGATCCATAACAGTGGCCTAGTTTGGTTGTAGATTCGGTCTTGCAACTTGCCGTCGCGACCTTGTCCCGCTGACCGGTTTGTTCGCGGACCTAAATCCTAATGTCCGGGACGGGGGTTTGTTCGCGCCAAACGCTGTTGTCGGAATCGACGTCTAGGGGGCGCGACGCTCGGTGCCATACCGGTTTTGATGTCGCTCGAGCGGTGGGGTTGAGAACGCGAAAAGGTGAAGTGGAGTCGTCTGCTAGCTGTGCTAATGTCTGCACGCTGTCAATTTTTGTGCGGGAACTGCGGAATAGTTAGGGCGTCTAGTAAATATCCTGTCTAGGATTTATAACGCGCATTCCTTGTTGGATAGCCTTTCCCGGGACTTATTGGGTCCGACTCCGAATCTGTATAAGTGCATTCGACAATATTAGCTAGTGCGGCCTTTGACAGTCTAGAAATAACTGTTACGCGAAGCTGTAGTGACCTTTGATCCGGGCACTCTCTGTTAGTTTTGTGTGTTAGGCTTTATAACAAACGAGAGTTAGTGGCTTCTGTAAGTTAATTAATCGTACTGTTACGCGCCACTATTAATGTCTTGTACATGGCAACACTAGTTACACTAGCGCCCTCTAGTGTCGAGTAAAAGAAAGTGTTGCGCGCCACTATTAATGTCTTGTACATGGCAACACTAGTTACACTAGCGCCCTCTGTTGAAGCGCCTGCGCCTTCTTTCTGCGCAAAGAGTTAAACAACGTACTTGAAGTAATTATGTCCATACTTATCGTTAATTTTAAACAGGTTTTTGTCCTTGCAATATTTTATTACCCGCTCAGCTGTTGTAAGATCAATACAATCGTCCAAGACCACATTCAAGTTGCATTATTTTTAAATTCCCGTAAACTCCCGAACATGGTCCTGGATCGTCGCCGGATATAAAATAATAAGAGCCAGAATTTATATTACACTTTTATATGGTTAATTTGGTGGAGTTTACATTGGAATCAAATTTGGAGTAACGTCGCCGCCATCAAGAATGTGGGTTAATTTGCAGTAATTACGTGGTGTTTAAGATACAATTTAAGATTTATCATCACCCAACACTCTATTAAGGTAATCTAATAGTATTTGATGTAAATCACCGGACTTATAAGGTTAGTGAATTTATTGTTCCTATCGATTATTAATTACCTACTGCGTTGTGTTAACATTCGCAAATTTTTTGATAATTTGCAGTAATTAAGTAAGAAATTGTATTGTAAGGATACTGTTAGAAATTAATCTACATTATTTTTTGCTTATTTACATTACTTAATATAGTTGTGCAGTAGAAATCGTATAGTAGCATTAATTATTAATACCTACACCAAGTAAATGTTTTTAGGCTTTAATTATTATTTATTTTCTTGTTTAGAGTGTTTTATAGTAATAAAATTATACTATGGTTATAGCGTAATTGTAGCATAGGACGATTGTTAAATTTTTGATTAAGTGGGTATACAATAATTGAATTGGGTATTTTAAGTAGCTTAAATAATAAAATTATCTACTATTGTTTGAATGTCGAGAAATATTCTGTAAAGTTACTTGTCACTATAATATTATTAAATTATTATTTGCCGAGTTAGTACCTACATACTGTATAATATAGTTAGGTAGTTTTTCGGGGCATAGTATTTAGTTAGTGCATTAGATAGTCGGAGATTGTTATTGAATATTTGTAATTGTATACATTCCAGGTCGAATACTCTCGTCTTCCAGAATGACCGAAGAAAAGGAGTTGATCAAAAAACGAGGTAGTTTTAAAGGCCGTTTAACTGCTTTCATTAGTTACGTGGATTCGCTTACCAAACCTTTACAAAATCATGACGCGACGGAATTGCAATTGCGTATAGGTAAGCTGGACACATTGTATAACCAATATGATGAGGTGCAGTTACGCTTAGAATGTATTGTCGACAAGCCCGACTTACAACTAACTGAGCGTTCATGCTTCGAAACTCAGTATTACAAGGCGCTAGCTAAAGCTCAAATTTTACTGAGCGATCATCATAATGCTAACTCTGAATCAGCAGGTAGTGACAAGAGTTCTCGAGTCAGTAATCATAAGTTTGTTAAGTTACCTACTATACAGTTGCCAAAATTTAGTGGATCATACGAGAACTGGTTGGAGTTCCATGACACCTTCAATAGCCTTATTCACTCTAATGATGAAATCGATGAAATTAATAAATTTCATTATTTACGCGCGTCTCTCGAAGGGTCTGCTGCTGTGGTAATTCAATCATTTGAGTTTTCTGCAAGTAACTATACAGTGGCATGGAATGTCTTATGTGAGAGGTTCAACAACAAACGATTGTTAGTTCAAAATCATGTGTCAGCCTTATTTAACCTTGAAACGATTACAAGGGAGTCGTCTGTAACTTTAAAGCGCTTAATCGATTTATTAAGTAAAAACCTGAGGGCATTAGAATCGTTAGGCGAACCAGTTCAGCATTGGAACACACTTCTAATTTATATAGTTACACATAAATTGGATCAGAAAACCTACCGTGAGTGGGAGGAGTTTAAAGGTCATTTAAAAAAGGATGAATCAGTTACATTTAATATATTCCTCCAGTTTATGCGCAGCCGAGCTGATCTACTCGAAACTTTAGAGACGTCGCGTAATGTTCACTTTGCACCGCATAGGCCTAGTCCTAAATTAAAATCTATGGTTTCGGTGCAACAATCGAATATTCATAATATAAACTCAAATAAACAATTCAAAGGTTGTTATAACTGTAACGGCGATCACAATTTAGGTAGATGTCCACAATTTCTTGCACTCAGTAATGAGGCTAGATTGAAATTATTACCATCTTACAAGATCTGTTATAATTGCTTTAAGTCAGGACATTTTGCAAATCATTGCAAAAATCCAGGGTGTAAGATATGTAAGCGCCGCCACAACACAATGATTCACGTTACTGAACCGATAGCAAGTCATACCGTACAAAATAAAAATAATTTCTCGCTCGAGAATGAGACGGGCACTCGCACAGGGACTCACTCGTCAATGACATCAACTGCAAGCACTGATGTGAACAACGTCGCTTTATCGGCAAACGTAGCGCATCGTAGTGAACAACGAGATGTATTATTATCAACTGCTTTGATAAAATTACTTGATTGTAATAACGTCGAACACGTCGCCCGCGCAGTATTAGACTGCGGTAGTACATCTAGTTTTATAACTGAGAATATGCGCAAACGATTAAATTTAGATTTTGTCGAAATAGATAAGTCGATTTTGGGCATTAATAGCGTGTATTCTCACGTAAGCAAAAGGTGTCGTGTACATTTAAAGTCGTTAGATAATAGTTATTCCGCTAACATTAATTGTTTCATTTTGCCATCGATTACTAGCAATACCCCAGGTCGCGAATTAAGCATACGTAATCTTCAACTTCCATCGAATATTTGCTTAGCTGACCCTGCATTTTACAAGCCTGCCGATGTAGATATTTTAATCGGGGCCGATCTCTTTTGGGATTTGTTAGGGTCACACAGAATTAAGTTAGGAAGTAATACGCCCATTCTGCATGAAACCAGGCTAGGGTGGATAGTTTCTGGTCCAATTAATGTTCATCATTCTACATTGATGTCTAATGACTTACGATGCAACTTCGCTAAGACTGATTTTTATTTAAATGGCGATAATAAAGACGACATTCGAATCGACTTAACGCGGTTTTGGCAGCTGGAGGAAATAAGTTCCAAGTCATCTCATTATTCACCTGAGGAGAAGTTGTGTGAAGATCATTTTGTAAGCAATACGTCTCGTCTTGATGATGGGCGTTTTTGCGTTCGGTTACCTCTCAAAAAAGATACCGGTCTATTAGGAGATTCATTTAAAAGAGCTACACATTGCTTGTTCTCCTTAGAGCGTAGATTAAAGGGTAAGCCTGACATCAAGCAGATGTATTATGAATTTATGTCTGAATATCAGTCACTGGGACATATGACAATTTGTGAAAGACCTAATTTAAGTAGTGGTGCGTATTTTATACCCCATCATGGCGTACTCCGTGAAAGTAGCACTACGACTAAACTTAGAGTAGTTTTTAATGCAAGTTGCCCGACGTCGTCAGGTATTTCGTTTAACGAAATACAAATGGTCGGTCCTGTAGTTCAGGACGACTTGACGTCGATTTTGTTACGTTTTAGGCAACATAAATACATTTTGTCTGCAGATGTAGAGAAAATGTACAGGTGCATAATCGTTCATCCTGATGACAGGCACCTTCAGCAGATAGTCTGGCGTAACAGTCCTAGTGAGCCTATACAGACCTTTCAATTAAATACTGTTACGTACGGTACGGCGAGTGCACCATTTCTCGCAACACGCTGCCTGAAACAACTTGGTCTACAGTGCAAAAACAAAGCCATAGCGGACATCATAATGCATGATTTTTATGTCGATGATCTGCTTACGGGTGCTGATGACTTAGATGACGTAAAGGCCATACGTCAAGGGGTTGCCGAAGTATTGGCATCTGCTCGTATGCCATTGCGAAAGTGGAGATCGAACGATCCCGAGTTGCTGTCAGAAATTGCCAATACATCACTTGACCTAAATATTGGTTCTCGCGAGCCAGACAAGTTGTTAGGTCTTGGCTGGCATTCGGATTCAGATGAACTCTGCTTTCCATTGAATTCACTAGTTCCCGATGGCAATACTAAGCGTGATTTGCTTTCAGTGATTGCACAAATCTTTGACCCGCTGGGTCTTTTAGCCCCGTATGTAATCACGATGAAAATATTGATACAAAGGCTTTGGTTAGACAAACTTTCATGGGATGAACCACTGTCTCCCGAAATCAAGAAACGCTGGTATGGCATTATCAAATCTCTTCCTTTTTTAAATAACATTCGTATTCCACGACTAGTTATCTGTGAGTCATACCGAGTGCTGCAACTGCATATTTTCACTGACGCTTCTGAGTGCGCATACGGTGCGTGCATTTATGTTCGAAGCGTCAGCGATAAGGGAGAAGTTATGGTCCGATTATTAACGGCTAAGAGCCGTGTAGCACCAATCAAACCCACAACAATACCACGATTAGAACTGTGCGGCGCGTTGGTAGGAGCTCGTCTTTATGAGAAGGTTGTAAATTCCCTTCGTGTTAAAGTTGACCAAGTCTACTTTTGGACAGACTCCACGATTGTTTTGGGGTGGTTGCGAATGTTGCCTTGCAAACTTCAGCCTTTCGTGCGTAATCGTGTCGCTGAAATTTTGGATAAGGCCAGTGACCATAAGTGGGGACACGTCCCAACAGATAGGAACCCAGCAGATTTAATATCTCGTGGTATAGATATCAGTGCTCTGGCATGTCTTAGATTGTGGTGGTCAGGTCCAGAATTTTTAATGTATGACATATCAAAATGGCCTTCTCAGCCTAAGAATGTTGAAACATTGCCGGAAACGCGTCATGATATTATATTAACTGCAGTCACTACTCATCCAAAAAATAATGATTGTTTCATTGATTTTAGTCGTTTCTCGAATTATTCACGTCTTGTACGTTCCATGGCTTACGTTTTACGATTCATCATGTCTTGTAAAAGACAGCTTATTTCTTCGAATTACTTAACGGAATTAGAATTACGAAACGCTTTAAATATTATAATTTCAAAATGCCAATATGATTCCTTTCCAGAGTATAAATTGCTTCTGAATAAACAAAACTTACCTAAGAAAAGCCAACTTCTTAAATTTAATGTATTTTTAGACGAAAATAAAATTATGCGTGTTGGTGGTCGTCTTGATAATTCTAAATTTTCGTATAATGAAAAGCATCCTATATTATTACAGTCCAATCATATATTTACAAAATTATTATTTGACCATGAACACAAAAGGCTGATGCACGCAGGCCCACAGCTACTGTTGGCAAACATTAGAGATACTTTTTGGCCGATAGGTGGTCGAAACTTAGCGAAGGCCTGTTATCATAAATGCATACGATGTCATCGCATGAAGGGTAAGGTTTCGAATCCACTAATGGGCAACTTGCCACAGCAGCGTCTCCTTTCGGGTGGCTTTCCTTTTGAGACGGTAGGAGTCGATTATGCGGGCCCTGTTATGAGCGCCACTCGTCAAGGTCGTGGGTGTCGACTGGTAAAGGTTTATATATGTATTTTCGTCTGTTTCACTACCAAGGCAATTCATTTAGAGTTGGTAGGTGACTTAACCAGCAATAACTATTTGTTGGCATTGCGCAGGTTTATAGCTCGAAGAGGTAAGCCAGTTAATATTTATTCCGATAACGGTGCTTCTTTTGTTGGTGCATACAATGACTTATCCAAATTTTTAAAGGGCAATTGCGATTCTTTGAGCGAAAGCATGGCCAATGATAATATTAACTTTCATTTTATTCCGGCATATACTCCTCACTTCGGTGGCCTCTGGGAGGCGGGAGTCAAATCGACAAAATATCATTTGCTTAGAGTGTTGGGCAATTGTCACTTAACGTATGAAGAACTTTACACCACGTTGACCCAGATCGAAGCAATCCTGAACTCCCGGCCACTCACTCCACTATCTTCAGATCCTGCAGATTGTACGCCCCTCACTCCGGGACATTTTTTAATTGGGCGTAAGCTGACTTCTTTGCCGCAACTGGACTACCAGCATCAATCCACTCCGTTATTAAACAGATTCCAACGCATTGAGCAACTGCGTCAGCATTTTTGGGAACGATGGAGCAAGGAGTACGTCTCAGAACTTCAACAAAGAGTGAAATGGCGTTCTTGCAAAGATAGCTTAAAGATAAACGATTTGGTGGTAGTCAAGGAGGACAACCTTCCACCGCTGAAATGGAAGCTGGGAAGAGTCGTTGCAATTCACCCAGGAGCCGATGGCATTGTTCGAGTTGCAGACATCAGAACTTCTACTGGGATTATCAAGAGGGCATTTAACCGGATTTGCCCATTGCCGGTGTCATTTAATTCTGGTTGAAATCAAAGATTTCAACGCCCGGGGGCATGTTGAAGCGCCTGCGCCTTCTTTCTGCGCAAAGAGTTAAACAACGTACTTGAAGTAATTATGTCCATACTTATCGTTAATTTTAAACAGGTTTTTGTCCTTGCAATATTTTATTACCCGCTCAGCTGTTGTAAGATCAATACAATCGTCCAAGACCACATTCAAGTTGCATTATTTTTAAATTCCCGTAAACTCCCGAACACCCTCTAGTGTCGAGTAGCAGAACTAGGAGAGTCGAGATCCTTCCAAAAATTTCGGGACCGATATGTACTCGAACATTCTAGATGTCGCTACAGTAGAAGGTTCTGGAAACTATCTGAGGCCCTATATAAGGCCGGTATAGACCACGACCGGGGCAGTATTGAATTGGCGATACAAGAGAATACTTCGAAGCGAAATAACGGCGAACTGTGTTTTATTATTAGTGTGATTTTAGATTGTAATTAGTGTTGTGTAATTAAAGTGTCAATTTTGGTAATTCAGTCGGCAGTTTTTAATTGTCTCGAACCCGAAGCTCGTAACAATTGGTGTCAGAAGTGGGATCAAATATGCCGATTTTACCTAAAAACGACACGGAGGGTATCCGTACCCGAAGTCAACGCCAACAGGGGACGGACTAGAGACGATTTGGTAATGCAACGCCGCAAAAGTCGGAGGGCCGGTTGCTAACCACGGAGGCTGGCCCGTCAGCAGCTCCTGCATCTGCAGCACCTGACTTAGGTGCTCTGATGATGATGCTGCAGGATCAGGCTCGCCGACAGGAGGAACAGGCTCGCCGACAGGAGGAACAGGCCCGCCGACAGGAGGAACAGGCCTGCCGACAGGAGGAACAGGCCCGCCGACAGGAGGAACAGACCCGTCGGCTGGAAGAGCAGCTGCAGCGCGGTATGGAAGAACAGATGCTCCTCAGGAAGGACCTTCACGCTACCTTCGGGAAAGAGATAAAGGAGGTGAAGGATAGGGTTGCTCAACATGACAACCGCCTGTCGGAAGCTGAAACCCGAATCGACCAAGTGAACAATCGGGTTGACAACGTGATGGCTGATGTGAAGAAAACGCTGGACGACCTCAAACTTGGGGATGGAATCACAGCTCCCGTGGTAGCTACAACACCTTCGCTACGTGGATTCAAAGTGCCGCCGTTCGACGGGAGTTCTTCCTGGTCAGCCTACAAAATCCAGTTCGAGGCTGTCATGAAAGCGAACGGCTGGAATAAAAGTCAGGCCATGACTGCTCTCACCCTAGGCCTGCGCGACCAGGCATTAACTGTTCTGGAAGCTCTCGGTAAGGGAGTGACTTACGAGCAGCTCCTTGAGGCATTGGAGGCGAGATATGGCGACGCTCACCTGGAACACGTCTTTCGTGCGCAGCTCAAAGATCGCGTGCAACGCAGTAACGAAAACCTGCAGCAGTGGGCCCTTGAGGTGGAGGAGCTGGTTCGAAAAGCGTACCAGTCTGTACCTGCGCTTATTGTAGGGAACCTGGTGCAGACATTCATCGACGGCATCCGCGACCTTGAAGTCAGAGCTGCTGTGAGGCTCGGTCACCACGAGACGCTTAAGGACGCCTTGACCCATGCACTGGAGGTGGAAGCCGTGCGGCAGGATCATCGTTCCCACCGCGTCAGGTAGGTTGCAGCAGCTACAGTTCAGGACCGCAATAAAAGCTACAGCCCTAGGTGCTACGGCTGTGGAGAAAGGGGTCATCTTCGATCCAGCTGCCCTAAGCGAACTATAGAAAGGGAAGGTGATCGATCTCGAGAGGGTAGTGCGGCTAACAGCAACGCCCAGCAGCAGCAGGGAAACTGGCGGGTGCTGGCTGATGTTAAAAAAGCCCCAAGGATTTCGATCTCACAAACCCGTGATGGGAACAGCCTGATCATCAAGGGCGAAGTCAACGGAACGCCGTGTAAACTGACCATAGACACTGGAGCCTCTCGCACGGTTGTCAGTTCCAAACTTATAATTCGGTTCCTTGGGGACTCCGCATATAACCGAGAACGCATTAATTTGGTGACAGCCACCGGTCAGCGCATACCCGTCCGTGGAGGGAAGGAGATGGAGTTGAAGCTAGGCAACATGATCTACCTGCATAATGTCATCGTGGCTGATATAATGGACGACTGCATCCTGGGCCTAGACTTTATGAGGAAGAATTGTTGTGAGATCGACGTTAAGCAAGGTGTTTTGAAATGTGGACAAGAAGAACTTTTCGTGGAAGGGGCGTTACCAGGGAATGTGTACAGCCTTAAGAAGATTGTTCTTCCGCCGAGATCGGAAACGATTGTGCCGGTTAGTCTTCCTCGGAGTCCTGGGCAAGCTCATCGCTGTGTACTCGTGGAAAGGGTAGACAATGACCTTCCATGGAAAGTGGCTCGAACCTTGGTCAGAACCACCGACATCTCAGGAGTACGTGTGTTGAACCTTTGTGATCAGGAACAGATTATAGAAAAAGGCACATTGGTTGGTACTAGTGAGGAAGTGGATTGGTTGCGTCGATGCGAATATCTATCGACCGGGACCCCCAGCAAGGATGGACAAACGATAGTGACCACACTTTTAGAAGACTGTCGCAGCGTTCTTTCCCCGAATGAAATGGTCAAGGCGAAGAAGTTGTTACTCAAGTACGCCAATATTTTCTCGTCAAACGAAGCTGACATAGGAAAGACTGGCTTAGTTCAACACAAAATAAACACAGGACAAGAATTGCCTATTCGTCAGCGGCCAAGAAGATTGCCTGTAGCACGTGAAAAGGAAGTGGAAACCATGATTGAGGGAATGGTGAAGGATGGTGTTATTGAACCTTCATCTAGTCCATGGTGTTCACCTGTGGTGCTGGTAAAGAAGAAGGACGGCAGCATGCGGTTTTGTGTTGACTATCGCCGCCTGAACGACGTTACAAAGAAGGACAGCTATCCCTTGCCAAGAATTGATGACACGCTGGACATGCTTACAGGCGTAAAGTGGTTTAGTACGCTAGATCTGAAAAGTGGCTACTGGCAGGTTGAAATTGACCCTAAGGACAAGGAGAAAACTGCATTCCCCACAGGAAAGGGTCTGTGGCAATTCAAAGTCATGCCGTTTGGATTGTGCAATGCTCCAGCAACGTTTGAAAGGTTGATGGAGCTTGTACTTACCGGGCTAATTGGAGATGCTTGTCTGGTCTATTTGGATGACATCATCATCGTAGGCCGTACGTTTGAGGAACACCTTCAAAACCTGGAACGCGTGCTCATGAAAATCCAGAGTGCCAACCTCAAGTTGAGTCCAAAGAAGTGCTCACTATTCAAACGGCAAGTTAGTTTTTTGGGGTATGTAGTGTCGGAAGAAGGTATCCGCACGGATCCAGAAAAAATTGCCGCTGTCAAGGAGTGGCCGGTTCCAAAAGACAAGACACAGGTTAGAGCATTTTTGGGTTTGTGCTCTTATTATCGGCGATTTGTGAAGAACTTTGCAGATATAGCCAAACCTCTGCACAAGCTAACCGAGGAGAAGCGACATTTCTGCTGGGATGAAAGTTGCGATATTGCATTCCAGGAGCTCAAGAACCGTCTGTGCAAAACACCTATTTTGGGGTACCCTGATGCGGGCAAGGAATTCATAGTTGACACAGACGCAAGTGATATAGGACTTGGCGGTGTGTTGTCTCAACGGAATGGTGACCAAGAGATTGTGATAGCGTACTTCAGCAAGTCACTGTCAAAGCCGGAAAGGAACTACTGTGTCACAAGACGCGAATTGCTTGCTGTGGTAAATTCCTTGCAGCATTTTAGCAAATATCTCCTGGGGCGGAAATTCTACTTACGAACTGACCATGCTGCACTGAAATGGCTATTGCAGTTCAAAAATCCTGAAGGACAAGTTGCGAGATGGATTGAACTACTACAGGAATACGACTTTGTGATCGAACATCGCAGCGGGAAATCTCATAGCAATGCAGATGCATTATCAAGAAGACCTTGCCCTGAAGATTGCAAGCATTGTACTAGACAAGAGGGTAAAGAAGTGGTATCTGCGAGGATATTCAGGACAGACCAGCTCAGCAATGAATGGAAGGACAGCCTACAACATGCACAGCAGGAAGATTCGGACATTAAGCCGATTCTGGAATGGATGAAGGCCAGTGCTCCTAAGCCCAAGTGGAGCGACATCTCAGCAATGAGTTCGACCACGAAAAGCTATTGGGCCCAATGGGACAGCTTGCTGATTCAGGATGGAGTCCTGTGCCGTAAATGGGAAAATGGTCGGGGAGACAGGTGTCATTTGCAAATGGTTGTCCCTAAGGCTAAAGTGCCGGATATTCTACAGCTGTACCATAGTGGTTGTTCAGGAGGCCACCTGGGAGTTAAACGAACTCTCCTAAAGATCCGAGAACGGTTTTACTGGGTCCACTGTCGTGACGATGTCGAGGACTGGTGCCGCAAATGTACAAGTTGTGCGGCTGTAAAGGGACCTCAAATTCGTAGTAGAGGCGCATTGAAATTGTACAATGTTGGTGCACCATGGGAGAGGATCGCCATTGACGTTGCGGGGCCGTTTCCAGAAACTGGAAGTGGTAACAAGTATTTCATGGTTGTGATGGATTACTTCACTAAGTGGCCAGAAGTCTTCGCCATTCCAAATCAAGAAGCTTCAACCGTTGCAGATAAACTAGTTCATGAAGTCTTCTGTCGTTTTGGAGTACCCTTAGAGATTCACAGCGATCAAGGAAGGAATTTTGAGTCTCAAATATTCCAGGAAACTTGCCGAGTTATGGGTACTCAGAAAACACGAACAACTTCTTACCACCCACAATCTGATGGAATGGTAGAAAGATTTAATCAGACATTGGAGAGGTACCTAGCAAAAGTTGTGGAAAAACGGTACCGAGACTGGGACAGGCACATACAACCGTTTTTGTTGTCATATCGAAGCGCTGTTCACGAAAGTACATCAGTGACACCAGCTTTCGTAAACTTTGGTAGAGAATTGCGG